GCACCGCGGGCTTCAGTGTTGTAGTTGCACCGCGGGCTTCAGTGTTGTAGTTGCACCGCGGGCTTCAGTGTTGTAGTTGCACCGCGGGCTTCAGTGTTGTAGTTGCACCGCGGGCTTCCGTGTTGTAGTTGCACCGCGGGCTTCAGTGTTGTAGTTGCACCGCGGGCTTCAGTGTTGTAATTGCACCGCGGGCTTCAGTGTTGTAGTTGCACCGCGGGCTTCAGTGTTGTAGTTGCACCGCGGGCTTCAGTGTTGTAGTTGCACCGCGGGCTTCAGTGTTGTAGTTGCACCGCGGGGTTCCGTGTTGTAGTTGCACCGCGGGCTTCAGTGTTGTAGTTGCACCGCGGGCTTCAGTGTTGTAGTTGCACCGCGGGCTTCCGTGTTGTAGTTGCACCGCGGGCTTCAGTGTTGTAGTTGCACCGCGGGCTTCAGTGTTGTAGTTGCACACGCGGGCTTCAGTGTTGTAGTTGCACCGCGGGCTTCAGTGTTGTAGTTGCACCGCGGGCTTCATGTTAGTTCGTTAGTTTTGCACCGCGGGCTTCAGTGTTGTAGTTGCACCGCAGGGGTTCCGGCTTGTTGTAGTTGCACCGCAGGCTTCAGTGTTGTAGTTGCACCGCGGGCTTCAGTGTTGTAGTTGCACCGCGGGCTTCAGTGTTGTAGTTGCACCGCGGGCTTCAGTGTTGTAGTTGCACCGCGGGCTTCAGTGTTGTAGTTGCACCGCGGGCTTCAGTGTTGTAGTTGTACCGCGGCCTTCAGTGTTGTAGTTGCACCGTGGGCTTCAGGAGAAAGCTTAGTTAAATAAGAGGTGTTACCACGTTCAGGATCAGGTGGTATACATGAACGGGATTAATACATTATTCTATCGGAATGGAACGCATACACTGAATGGAATACAATATTGTAGCATAGCTAAATAGCTAAATAGTGATCTTTTCTTCCAATAAATGGTAATTCATATTTGTAATTATTATTGTGCAAAAGTTTGGCGCTATGTGTGAAGTTGCAACTCTGGTGCAACTTTGAATTTCGGGAAACTTTGTGCATTTGCGTTTGTTCAAGGTATGATTTCGGGTTTTCTCATTTTTTATTTAGCAAGTTTGATTTTAATTTGCGCCCCACTTATTATGAATAAGTTCGTTTGTGGATATTTACGTGGACATCGTGTTGTGGTCAAATTCTTCACATAAATGTTTAATTGATATAAAATCTTGAGGTTAAAGATGAGCTTGGGGAAAGTGATCACAAATCACTCAGTTTTAATATATCATGGAATTCCCTATAATGGCAATCAGTCTCGTCCTGACTTTCGCTTGGCTGATTTCATAGGACTGAAAAATACTTAGTGGGCTGAACTGGAATGACCTGACTAAGGGTCAGGTAGGTGGTGATGGTTGCCGATATGATGCTTTCCAGGGCATAGTTCTAGCTGCTCAGTCAAATTATGTTCCAAATTGGGAAATCAGATCAAACAAAAATGATCCTAAATGGATGAACAATAGATTAAAATATCTGATTGGTCAAAAGGGAGGCATATATAGGCAAATCAAAAGAGGAGAGCGGCAATTAAGAAATCGATATATTCAGTTAAAGAGAGAAATAAAAAAGGGAATTAGAAAAGCAAAAAGAGATTATGAGGTTAAAGTTGCAAGAGAATCGAAGACTAACCCAAAAGGATTCTTTCAGGTATACAGAAGTAAGATCAGGGACAAGATAGGCCCACTCAAAAGTTCCTCGGGTCAGCTCACTGACAGTGATAAGGAAATGTGTAGAATTTTTAACACATACTTCCTCTCAGTTTTTACACAGGAGGATACCAGCGATATTCCAGTAATGATAAATTATGTAGAACAGGACGATAATAATCTGTGACTATTAGGGTCACAAGTGACATGGTCCTTAGGCAAATAGATAAATTAAAACATAACAAATCCCCAGGCCCTGATGAACTGTATGCAAGGGTTCTAAAGGATGTAAAGAGGAGCTTAGCACACCTTTGGCTAATCTTTTCAACATATCACTACAAACTGGCATGGTGCCAGATAAGTGGAAAATGGCAAATGTGATACCTATTTTCAAAACAGGTGACAGGTCCTTAGCTTCGAACTATAGACCAATAAGCCTAACCTCCATAGTGGGAAAATTTATGGAATCAATAATTGCCGAGGCAGTTCGTAGCCACCTTGAAAAGCATAAATTAATCAACGAATCTCAGCATGGTTTTACAAAGGGGCGTTCCTGCCATACGAATTTATTAACTTTTTTCACTAAGGTATTTGAGGAGGTAGATCATGGTAATGAATATGATATTGTGTATATGGACTTCAGTAAGGCTTTTGACAGGGTCCCACATCAGAGACTATTGAGGAAAATTAAAGCACATGGAATAGGAGGAGAAATTTTTTCCTGGATAGAGGCATGGTTGACAAATAGGCAGCAGAGAGTTTGCATAAATGGGGAGAAATCAGAGTGGGGAAGCGTCACGAGCCGTGTTCCACAGGGGTCAGTGTTGGGCCCCCTGCTGTTCACAATCTACATAAACGACATAGATGAGGGCATAAAGAGCGACATCGGCAAGTTTGCCGATGACACTAAAATAGGCCGTCGAATTCATTCTGACGAGGACATTCGAGCACTCCAGGAAGATTTGAATAGACTGATGCAGTGGTCGGAGAAGTGGCAGATGCAGTTTAATATAGACAAATGCAAAGTTCTAAATGTTGGACAGGACAATAACCATACCACATATAAACTAAATAATGTAGATCTTAATATTACGGATTGCGAAAAGATTTAGGAGTTCTGGTTAGCAGTAATCTGAAACCAAGACAACAGTGCATAAGTGTTCGCAATAAAGCTAATAGAATCCTTGGGCTTCATATCAAGAAGCATAAATAATAGGAGTCCTCAGGTTGTTCTTCAACTATATACATCCTTGGTTAGGCCTCATTTAGATTATGCTGCACAGTTTTGGTCACCGTATTACAGAATGGATATAAATTCTCTGGAAAATGTACAAAGGAGGATGACAAAGTTGATCCCATGTATCAGAAACCTTCCCTAAGAGGATAGACTAAGGGCCCTGAATCTGCACTCTCTAGAAAGACGTAGAATTAGGGGGGATATGATTGAGGTGTATAAATGGAAGACAGGAATAAATAAAGGGGATGTAAATAGTGTGCTGAAAATATCTAGCCTAGACAGGACTCGCAGCAATGGTTTTAAGTAGGAAAAATTCAGATTCAGGAAGGATATAGGAAAGTACTGGTTTGGTAATAGAGTTGTGGATGAGTGGAACAAACTCCCGAGTACAGTTATAGAGGCCAGAACGTTGTGTAGCTTTAAAAATAGGTTGGATAAATACATGAGTGGATGTGGGTGGGTGTGAGTTGGACCTGATAGCTTGTGCTACCAGGTCGGTTGCCGTGTTCCTCCCTTAAGTCAATGTGACCTGACCTGGCTAGGTTGGGTGCATTGGCTTAAGCCGGTGGGAGACTTGGACCTGCCTCGCATGGGCCAGTAGGCCTTCTGCAGTGTTCCTTCGTTCTTATGTTCTTATGTTCTTATATTTCGTAAAGTGAAAGTGAAGTTCATAGAAAATGATGAGTACACTGACCTATACTCGGATTTGTTGCTTGTCATGATTGCCTGTAAAAAATATATCCGCACCTTTACATACATTGGTACTTTCCAGGTGCACCTTTGTTCATAGTAGTTAAGTAGCCCTGAGCGAGGCTCTTCTACCTGTCAGGCTCCTCCATAAAATTGAAGCTGAGGATGATGTCGAGGACATAAGATGTGATCTAGAGGATCACATGATCTAGAGGACATAAGATGTGACTGACAAAACCATAAATGTTAAAATTAACACTATGAAATACTTTCGCAATAACCGAACTTTGTAAACATTTGTGAAATAAACAGGAAGTTTTTAGGAAAATTAAATTGTAAGTTTACTCTTATGTTCGTTAAAATATTTTTTTTTCAACTCGTCGGCCGTCTCCCACTGAGTCAGGGTGACTGAGAAAAGAAACATTTTCACAATCATTCACCACTTTCACCATCATTCAGCACTTTCACTATTATTCACACACAATCACTGTCTTTGCAGAGGTGGTCAGATATGACAATTTAAATGTCACTCCAAACTGCCAATATCCCAGGCCCTCCTCCTTTAAAGTGCAGGAATTGTACTCCCACCTCCGGGACTGAAGCCCGGCTAACCGGTTTTCCAGACTCTCTTCACATAATATTACGGTGCTCACACTAACAGCTCGTCTAGTCCCAAAAACCATTCGTCTCCATTCACTATCTAACACGCTCCCACATGCCTGCCACTCCTCTCCCTCCACCCTTTCCTAGGACGACCCTACCCTACTACCCTCACTACAGATTTATACACCCTCCAAGTCATCCTATTTTGCTCCATCGTCTTTAAATGACCAAACCATCTCAACAACCCCTCTTCAGCCTCTAAATAATACTTTTAGTAACTCCACACCGCCTCCTAATTTCCACACTACGTAATTCTCTACATAATATTTTACACCACACATTGCCCTTAGACAGGGCGTCTCTACTGCGTACAGCCTCCTTCTTGCTGCAGCATTTACAACCCATGCTTCACACCCATATAAGAGTGTTGGTACCACTATACTCTCGTACATTCCCTTCTTTGCCTCCATGGATAGGTTTTTTTTGTGTCCACAGATACCTCAAAGCACCACTCACCTTTTTTCATTCATCATTTCCATGGTTAACCTCATCTTTCATAAACCCAACCGCTGACAAGTCAACTTCCAAATATCTGAACACATTCACTTCCACACTTTCTCCCGTCTATGTGACATCCAATTTTTCTTTATCTAAGTCGCTTGGTACCCTCATCACCTAACTTTTATCTATGTTCACTTTTAACATTCTTCATTTACACATTACATAGTAAAAAATAAACTACTTTCTACAAGTTTATCCATGTAGAGGATTCTTATTTATATTTGCAGGTGGTTCCTAGCATCCAAGGGATCCTCTTTAAGGACATCAAACAGATCTTCAGGAAAGAACAGTGTGACTCTGCGCTATTAGTAACAGCCAATGTTCCCTCTGCCAAGAATATCATTGTTCATGGCCCAGGAGGACTTGATGGTGGTGGTATTCCTTCTCAGGTAACCTTTGTATCTTTTGTCATTTAGCTTTATTCCTGAGCAACATATAGGATTTTTGTTTATTAAAAGTCAAGAAATATATTATTTAAATTATGTTGCACATAAATTTCTGTATTTTATATACATCTATTATTAGTGTTTTTCTGTTTTGATTTTTTCCATCGTCTCACTTATTTGCGATCGTTGAAATTCATCACATTTTTTCTAGTATGAATGATAACTATTTTTTATACGACGGCCACTACTCAGTATATGGAAAAGATTGGCAAAGGTTTATTTTTTTAACTGCTCAGCACCTGACACTATTTGAAATGAACAAGAAGTTTTCTTACCTGATGGAGGATCAACTCTGCGCTAATCATTGGTTTGAATGACCCACAAGAAGTTCATGGATTAATATAAAATAATCAACCAAAGGATGTTTCCAGAGGGAGAAAATTGTAAGAATATTAATTTTACTGATTCATGAAGTTGAAACGCATTCGCTCTTGTATTTGCCTCATCGATTGTAAATGTTTTCATAAACAGTGTGTCTAACTATTACATAATTGCTTTTTATTTACTCTTACAAAAAACGCGATTTCTAATAAGCATAGAGATCTCCAGTGAATACTAGAAAGGACTGCCCTTCTAGCATCAAGCCTGTTACTGGGTTTTTGTAACAAGTAGTCAGTATCCTGGTCCAATTATCCATTAGAATTCAGTAAGATTCAGTAGTGCTTCAGGATTACAACTGGTAGGCTACTAACTATAGAAATTAAAATTTAATAAGTTTATTAATAAACAAAATTGTCTAGGAGTATATTATCAAATTAAATATAATTAATCAATTTAAACAAATTAATAATAATCACTTTCTCGTGTACAGTAGTATTGTGCTGATGGCACATATCACATTTATACGTCTTAAGTACCGTCTGGTACATTAACATTTAATAATACAATATACAAATATGTGCAAGTAAGTTTGTGTGTATGTGTGTAAGTGCTCTAAGTAGTTCGCTATGTCTCAAAACTCAACTAGACTTAACTAGTGACTAAGTCCTCACATCAACTAACTTCTTAACCACCTAGCAATCAGAACAGCTTGCTTGAACAATAAAAACGACTGCTAAGCCCAATAGCAATATAACAAGCAACTGCTACACAGAATCAGGATCAAGGAGATAATATAACGACACTAAGTAGGGACCATTAGCAGATCCTCCACAATAGTCACAAAACTCTCATGCTACTGATTCTAAGTTCAGCATAAGAAAATCCCCGACTGTGACAGTACACAGATACCAGTACAAATTAGATCAGAAGCTACAGCTCAGGACCTGAGTTGCTCAGAGTGTCTATGCAACACAACCTCAGTACAACGTCGAAAAATCACTAAGTCTAGACAATGTTCTGTGAACAGAGTTCTACAGAACCTACAACAATAAAGCGACAGAGACAATCTTCCAACAAGGGCCAATAAGGGAGAGTTAGGCACGTCTTGTCAGGAATACATCCAACCACCAAGAGAGTCTAGCCCAGACTGACTACTTTAGGCGAGGTGTGAACACCCCCCCCCCTCGATCACGTGATAGCTCCATGGACAGTTGCTGCCCAGCAATACTGAGAAGTCGGCAGAGTAATGAGCCATGAGCAATAATTACTGTAGTTAGACAATCAATTCTTGAACTATGAGCACATAATAATAATATATAAATGTTACATCCTACCTAACAATATAACTAAGTCAAATAATATAAAGCAATGTATTTACGATTCAGCTATTATCGCAAATATAAGCAATATAAAATTATATGAAAAGGTAATATACATTATATACATTGTGACCCATTCAGGGGTCGCAACACCCCCCCCCCCAACATGACAAACGGTCACACTAGGAGTTGTGTTAATGTTTTTCACATTATTACTGATTACTCATGTCACTTTAATAATACAATTTAATATCGAAATCCAGAGTCACTCTTGTGCCAAGCACTTTACATTTTACAGTGTCTATATCACTAAGTTATGCCCCTGGTACTAGGGCAATATACAGCATATAATATCTCTGCATACTCGTGGTTATGTACATCAGTATAGAGACAGGCTAGCATAGACAAGCATGACACGTTGAGGCTCGATCATAGTAGTGGAGACTGCATATGAACAATAGTCTTGTGCGATAGACAGGAGAAGGTATTCCACTCTTAAATAGTGGTAGTGGAATGTGAGGCAGTATGGACATCTGCGTATGAGGAAGCTTAAGGAGTGTAGTGAGGGGGGATCTGCAGCAAGAGTGTTCTGCCAGTCAGTAACATCGCCCGCACAATACTACACACTCAACACTTAGCTTCTGTCTCCAACTGTCTCCTCCTCACACACATATCACCACTACTGTGAATATATAATTAGATTAATTAGACTTGACATGAGAATACATAGTTAACATGGGCTGGAGAGATTACGTTACTTTACTGAATTTGACGTAGGAAGTAACAAAAGGTATTTGGGCATAAAATTACGTTAATTTAAATGTAACTGATAATTAAGGACGTGACAAAGCGTCAGCAATTACATTACAATGACCACTGATAAGTTGTATACTAATAGAGTAAGGCTGGATTCTGAGAGCCCACCTCATGATCCTAGCATTTTTACTCTTCATAGTGTGTTTTGTAAGTGAGTGGATTGTGGTCTGAAAAAAAAACGTTAACTTTAATTGGGGAAGTGCCCAAATACACGTCAAAATGTTCCAAGGACACCGCAAGAGCTAGAGCCTCTTTCTCAATAGTGGCATAATTTTTCTGGTGTCGCTTAAGCTTAGATGAATAGTAACATATAGGATGGAGAATGTCAGTGGCTGTTGACTGTTGGAGCAGCACAGCATCCACTGCATAACCACTCGCATCTATATGTAAAAAGAAGGGAAGATTGAAATTAGGACTCAACACAGGAGCAGAGGAGAGCAAACGTTTCAATCTTTTAAGCGAGTCTGAACAATCTCTAGTCCAGATGAACTGAACTTTGCTACTAGTGAGCTCAGTGAGAGGAGCAGCAATCTTAGAAAAGTTTGGACAGAACCTGCGCTAATATCCTGCCATGCCCAGGAATCTCTGTACTCCCTATCCTGTGGCACTGGAAATTCAGAAATTGCACGAACCTTAGCCTCAATAGGAGCAACCTCACCTTGGCCGATACAAAAGCCTAGATAGGTAATCTTGGCTTGACCAAAACTACATTTAGCTAAGTTAACAGTGAAGTTGTAGTGCGCCACTCTCTCAAACAATGCTCTGAGATGCGTCAAGTGTTGTTCCCACTCGTCACTGTACACCACTAAGTCGTCAAGGTAGGCTTCTACTCCTTCTAAGTTGTGGGTCAACTCGTTCATTATACGTTGGAATGAGGAAGCCGTGTTACATAGGCCGAAGGGGGTGACGAGGTAGTTAAACAATCCATCTTGAACAGTAAAAGCAGATATTTCTTGAGCACGTTCAGTGTTGAGAATTTTGGCCTTACCAGCTAAGATATAATTTATAACTATATATAATGAACACTTAGCTGATAAATGACAGCAAATCGTCTACACAGCCGCCCCTGCAGACGAGGTCTAGAAGCTGTCGAAACCATCACAACATTGGGCTGTCAAGAGATACTATTTGTAAGTATAAATTACCCCTAGGGGGTGTTATGCCAGCAAATTTTATTCTGTGGGAAAAATACTTTTGTTTACCAAAATAATTAACTCCTTTATAGGTTTTAAAAACCCCCTTTGATCAAAAGGCCAACCCCTTAAAAATTCAAATATTTGTTTTTTAACTATTGTTTTCCCAAAATTAAACTTATTGCTTGTAAGCGAATGCCCTTGGATCCCCCTTTTTTGCGGGGCCCCGGAAAATTGTTCCAAAATTTTGTTTTTTTTTCACAATTTCCCAAAGGCACACACCCTTTAAGTGTTTTTTTGAAAATTTTTGAAAAAGATCCGATCTTTTTGGGGTCTTTTTCCCCCCCCTAGAAAAAATATCTTCCCAACCCCCCGGAAATCCCCTGAAAAAAAAAAACCCGTCCTATAGGGTTTGTCACCCCCCTTGAGAAAGCAGAATTTTGTTTTGTTTATTAAAAAGGCCCTTTTTTTTTGGGGAAAAAGGTGGGAGGGATTTTTTAAAATTTCCAAAAAAAAATTTAGGGGCCAAAAAAAATTTTGCAACACTGAAGGGAATTTTCCCTTTTTGTGGAATAATTTGATAATTTTTAAAAAAAACGATTTCCCCTTCGGGGCTTGGCCATCTGGGCGAAATAATAAAATGAAGGGGCTATAACCCCCTTTTGGATAATTTTAACGGGGGGGCATTCCTGCGGTAAACTATTTTATTTTTAATTTATTTTTCCCCCCCCGGGCCCTTTTTTTTGGTTTTTTTGTTTTTTTGGGGGAACCCAAATTTTTTTTCAAACTTTTTTAACCACTTTTAAATTTTTTGTTTTTCCCCCTTGAAAATTTTTCCTTTTTTTTTTATTTCTCGGTTTAAAAAATTTTTCCTTTTTTCCCCTTACCAAATTGTCAAAACTTTCCCCGGGTCTTAAGGTTTTTTTTTTTTTAGGCCCCAGTTGAAGTGTTCCCAAAAAAGGGGATTTTTCCGTTTTTTTTCCCCCAACTTAATCATTTAAAGGTGTTTAATTTCCTTTTTTGTAGTTCAAAAAGGGGCCTTTTTTTTTTATCACGGGGAGGCGGGTTGGGTTTTCCCAATAAAGAGATACTTCCTTTTTTTTTTCCCCCTAACTAATAAAGTTTTTTTTGACTTTTTTTTTCTTTTTTCCCACAATGGGGGGGTTTTTTAATTTTTCCTCGGGGGGAAATTTTTAAAATTTTAAATGTTTTTTTTAAAAAAATGGGGGCCAGGGAAATTTGGGGAATGTACCCAAGCACTGGTTGATTAAGGTTTTTTTTGGGGTTTTAAAAATTTGCTTTTTTTAAACCCCCCAAAAAATTTTTGGTTTTGAACATTTTGGGAACCTTTTGGGAAACCTTTTAAATATTGAAAAAGCCC